AGAAAACCACCAAATCACAGAAGTAAACAAGAAAAGGAGGAATGAAGAAACAATCTACAAAACTACCGAAAACAATTGACATTTTTGTCAGGAGTAAGTTCTTATCTATCAATAATAGCCTTTGAATGTTAATGGATTACATTCTCAAAGATATAGCGGCTAAGTAAACAAGACTCAACTATGTACTCTCTAGTCTTGTAGACTCACCTGATCATTAAAGACAGAAACATAGACTGAAAGTGAAGAGATGGAAAAAGATATTCTATGCAAATGGAAACCAGAGGCAAGCAGGAGTAGCCATATTTACATCAGATAAAATAGACATTAAGTCAAAAACTGTAAAAAGATGCCAGGCATGGTGGCTTATGCTTGCAATGCCAGCACTTTGGGAGGCCAAGGCAGGCAGATTGCTTGAGCTCAGGAGTTTGACACCAGCCTGTGCAACGTGGTAAAACCTAGTCTCTACAAAAAATACAAAAGAATTAGCCAAGTGTGGTGGCAAGCATTTGTAGTCTCAGCTACTTGGGAAGCTGAAGTTGACTTCAGATGAAGTTGAGGATGGCTGGAGCCCAGGAGGCAGAGGTTGCAGTGAGTCAAGATCATATCACTGCACTCCAGCATGGGTGACAGAGCCAGACCCTGTCTCAAAAAACAGCAGCAACAACAAAAACAACGTATAAAAAGAGACAAGTTCATTATAGAAAGATGATAATGATGAAGGAATCAATTCAACAGAAAATATAACAGTTGTAAGTAGATATGCTTACAATTGTTATACTATCCAATAATGGAACACCCAAATTTATAAAGCAAATATTATTACACCTAAATGGAGAGATACACTGTAATACAGTGATAATAGGGGACTTCAACATTGTAAAAATGGCCATACAACACAAAGCAATCTATAGAATTAATGTAATCCCTTTCAAAATAACAATGACATTCTTCACGAAAGTAGAAAAAACAATCATAAAATTTATATGGAATCACAAAAGACCCTGCATAGCCCAAACAATCCTGAGCATAAAGAACAAAGCTGGAGGTTTGTACCTGACTGATACTACAAAGTAGTACCTGACTGATACTACAAAACTATAGTAACAAAATCAGAATGGTAGTGGCATAAATACAGACACATAGACCAATGGATCAGAATAGAGAGCCCAGAAATAAATTTACACACCTACAGCCAACTTAATTTCAACAAAGCTGAGAACACACACTGGGGAAAAGACAGTCTCTTCAATAAATACTGCTGGGAAAAGTGGATATCCATATGCAGAAGAATGAGACTAGACCCCCTACCTATCACCATTTACAAAAATCAACTCAAAATGGATTAAAGATTTAAATGTAAAACCCAAAACTATGACACTACTAAAAGAAAACATAAGGGAAACCTTCATGACATTGGCCTGGGCAAGGATATTTAAAATAAGACATTTGTACAGGCAGCAAAAGCAAAAATAGACAAATGGGACTGCAACTAACTAAACAGCTTTTGCAAAGCAAAGAAAACTATTAACAGAGTGAAGGCACAACCTACAAAATGGGAGAAAACATTTGCAAACTATACATCTGACAAAGGATTAATATCCAAAATATATCAGGATCTTAACAGCAGAAAAACAAATAATTCAATTTTTAAAATAGGCAAAAGACTCTAACAGACATTCCTCAAAAGAAGACATGAAATTGTTAATAGGCGTATGAAAAAAAATGTTCAACATCATTAATGATCAGGGAAATGTAAATCAAAATCACTGAAATACCACCTCACCCCAGTTAGAAGGCTATTATCAGAAAGACAAAAGAAAATCAGTATTGGTTACAATGTAGAGAAAAGGAAACACTTACAAACTATTGGTGGGATTGTAAACTAGAACAGTTATTATGGAAAATATTATGGAGGTTTCTCAAAAAATTAAAAATATAATTATAATATGATTCAGCAATCTTACTACTGGTTATATATCCAAAGGAAATGAGATCAATATGTCAAAGAAATATTAATATCTGCACTCCCATGTTTATTGCAGGACTATTTACAATAGCCAAGATATGAAATCAACCTAGTGTCCGACAACAGATGAGCAAGTTAGAAAATGTGGTATATATATGGAATAGAATACTATTCAGCTGTAAAGGAGAATGAAATCCTGTCATTTGCAACAACGTGGTTAAACCTGGAAGACATAATGTTAAGTGAAAGAAGCCAGATATAGAAGGACAAATACAGCACGGTCCCACTTATACTTAGGAAAGAAAATTGATATCCCAGAAGCAGGAAAAAGAAACTCATATCCCAGAAGCAGAAAGTAGAACAATGGTTAGGACGAAGGGAGGGATGAGGGGAGAAGAGGTTAGTCAACAAATACAAAGTTACAATCAGACAGGAGAAATAAATTCTGGTGTTTCCTTGCATGGTGGGATGACACTAGCTAACAGTACAATATTGTATATTATAAAACAGCTAGAAGAGAGACTTTTAAATGTCTTCACCCCAAAGAAATGATAAATTCATGAGGCAATGGATGTACTACCTTGATTGGATTATTATACAATATAGATATGTATCAAAACATCAAAGTGTACCCTATAAATGTGTACAATTACACTGTCAATTTAAAAATAAATAAATATATATTTTTAATTATGGGATGTAGCTAAAGCAGTGCTTAGAAGGAACTTTATCATTTTAAATATTTATTTTGGAAAAGAAGAATGTTCTAATTAATTGATCTAAACTTGCACCTTAAGAATCTTTTTTAAAAAGCAGATTAGCTCTGAGAAGTTTGTTATTACCCACCTTCTGAAGCCTGTTTCTGTCAATTCATCAGATTCATTCTCCATCCATCTTTGATCCCTAGCTGGTGAGGAGCTGTGATCCTTTGGAGGAGGAGAGGCATTCTGGGTTTTGGTGTTTTCATTCTTTTTGCGCTGGTTTCTTCCCATCTTAGTGGCTTTTATCTGCTTGTGGTCTTTGTAGTTGGTGACTTTTTGATGGGGTCTCTGAGTGGACGTCCTTTTCATTGATGGTGAAGTTATTTCTTTCTGTTTCTTAGTTTTTCTTCTAACAGTCAGATCCCTCTGCTGCAGGACTGCTGGAGGTCCACTCCAGACTCTGCTTGCCTGGGGATCACCCATGGGGGCTGCAGAACTGTAAGAGTTGCTGCCGGTTTCTTCTGTTATCTTCATCCCAGAAGGGTACCTGCCAAATGTCAGCCTCAGCTCTCCTTTGTGAGGTTTCTCTGGGTATACAGGGGTTGGAGAGCTGCCTGAAGAGACAGTCTGTCCCTTACAGGATCTCAAGTGTTATGCTGGGAGCCCTGTTGTTCTGTGTAGAGATGCTGAGCAGGTACTTTTAATAAGTCTGCTGCAACACAACTCATAACTGCGTCTTTTCCCATGTGCTCTGTCCTATTAAGGTCAGCTTTATTTATGAGTTCCTGTTGTGCTACTGTCTTTTTTCATAGATGCCCTGCCCCACACGGAGTAGTCTAGTCACAGTCTGCCAGCAGAGGTGTTGCTGAGCTGCCGCAGGCTCTGCCCAGCTGCTGTGTGAACTGCCTCGGTAGTGGTGGACTGCCTCGGTAGTGGTGGTCACCCTTCCCCCGACTGAGCTGGACCATCCTGGGTCCAGCTGCGCTTGCTGTGAAATTCTCAATCCAGAGCGTTTCAGATTGCTTGTTTTGTGGGGGTGGTACTCACGGAGCCAGATTGCCTGGCTCCCTGTCTCTGCCCCCTCCCTTTCAGTTGAATGGGTGGCTCTGTCTCCCAGGCATTCCAGGTGCCAGTTGAAATGGCTGCCCAGATTTGTGTGAGTTTCTGTGCGCCAAGTTGGCACCAGCTGAAACTGCCATGCTGAAAACTTGTGGCGCTTTTCGGCCTGGGAATCTCCTGGTCTTTGGGCAGTGAAAATTTGTTTGGAAATGCAGTGGGCACTCACCCTCTGCGTTGTTCTTGCTGGGAACTGCACTCTGGAGCTGTTCCTATTTGGCCATCTTGGATCCTCCCCGCTATTCTTCAGGTCCCTCTATACCTAGCTAGGATCAATCACTCCCATTCACGTTTCCTAAGCTCCATTATCCTATTTCTTTTCTTGGTGCCCCTTCATAGAATCCCAGTCCTGAATGAGCACAATCCCCTGTATTAGATGTGTCTGCATCTCAGGGTAAGGTAGGTAGACAAAAAGAGACCTTCCTGATCCTTAGCTTCACCTCAGCATTCCTGCCTTCCTTCCCCTGCTCTAGATTAGTGGTTCTCAAAGTTGGAGGCAAGGAACCAGCGGCATCAGTGTTGGCTGGAAACTTGTTAGAGATGCAAATTCTGGGGCTCTGGAGGTAGGCCCAGGAACCTGTGCCTTAACAATCCCTCTAGGAGACGCTGATCCATTCTCAAGTGTGAGGAGCACTGCTCTAGACAGCCACCTCCCCACTCTGCAGAGCAAACAGTTTCCCCTTTCCACAAACTTCTGCCTCTCCACATCCCCCCACCCCACAACATTTGTACACTGACCTGTGCTCCTGCTTCCCAGAGAAACCATGGAAATCATTATGTGGCTTTTTCTCAGCATCCCTCCAACAGATCTGCCTGCCTGCATCTCCAGTGCCCTCTTCTGCCATCCAGGTACAGAGGAAGGAAGGTCTCCTTCCCAGCAAACGTGCCCTTACCAGGAACCCCATCCTCACTCTTGGCAACTTTCTGATATAGCTATACTCTTTCTCTCGTTCAGTTGTAACCTTTTCCTGTTCACTGGGCTCTTCTTTTCATCACATTATATGCCTTTCCTTTCTGCAAAAACAATAAACCCTGCCTTGATCCCACCCCGTTCTCCAGCAATGCGCTTCTCTTCCCCACTCATACAAATACCTAAAAGAAATCATCCTCACTCATCATCAGCATGTCTTCCCACCACTCTCCTGGACCCTTGCCTGTCCAGCATCCAGGACTAACTTATTAAATGTGCTCCCATCAGGGAATACAGAGACCAGTTCTTGCTACATATTTTATTGGACATCTCAAGTGCATCCTTTTCCCAGTCATTTGAAATGTCACCTTTGTTACTGACCAAATGGCAATATCTCCATGAATCTCTCTTGGAACTCAATTCTTTTCCATGTATTTGTTATTCTTGCATTTAAACCAGCCAGTATTGATTATTACATCATTATAATGTGATTTTTGTATCTAGGAAAACAAAACTCCCTTTGTGTATTCAGTTCTTGTTTGGTCCCTCAAGCATTGTTACTTTTTTGAGAACTGACTCCCCCCACCCCAGCTGCCTCAATCCATGTGGTCACAGTGGAGGCAGCTGTCGCCTTCCAGTGTGGCTTCACTGCATGGGTTGTGTGGACAGGAAGCTTTCACCCAAACTGAGCTGACAATCTCCTTCCTGAGCTTTGGGATGAATATGCTATGGTCTTTGTTTGACTGCTCCTTTGCAACTGATGAGCTCCTTTGTAACAAGATTGGGACTGCTGGTTGCAAATGTTTCCCTCCAGGTAGCCTGAGAAACCAAAACCCACCCTGCAGGGAAGAAGAAAAATGAGGCAGATGTGCAGAGAAAGACAAGCAGATGGGAGAAGCAGGGGTATCCCTTATACTAAAAAATCAGGTGTTGTCTATTTGGAACTCTACTTTAACTGGCCATCCTGGATTGTATGTGGCAACCCTACCCTTAAAGCATCTTGGTTGGCCTCCTAGGCTCAGGTCTCAGCCCTTACAAGGAGGGAGCACCCAGAGCACCTGTTAAGACAGGACCCTTGGTGTAAGCAGCTTCACATGAGATTTTCTCACTTACAACCAACGGGGTCCTTGTTCATTTTACAGAAGAAAATAGACATGAAGCAAGGTAAGTAGATAAAATATGTAGTAAGCTAGAGAGTAATAAGTGCTAAAGAAAACATAAAGCAAGAAAGGGGGATATGAAGTATAGGGAAGGGTATGTGCATGCATATGTGTTTACTGGTTTAAAATTAAGTCTTCCCTGAGAAGTTGTAAGGAAAAGGAGGGAACTAGCCATGATGATCTGAGGAGGCCAAGCACTCCAGATGGGGTAGGAGCAGGTGCTAAGGCCCTGGGGCAGGTGCCTGAATTCTTCAAGGCATAGCCAGGATGCCAAGCTGACTGGAACAGAGAGGTGGCTTTCCAGCAGTGCTGCTAGTGCAGAAGCAGGACTGGAGGCCCCTCCCAGCGAAGCAGGTTCTCCTGAGGCCATGGCAGGCCATTGCCTACCAGGCTGCAGTCTATGACACCAGTCTGGTAGCCAAATGCTGTCATAGTGCTGTGCTTCGATGCCACTATTTCTATGCCTATGGTATTCATTATTGTCATGCATCTTTCCAGGCATGTGTATATGTGTGTGTGTGACTCTGAGGTTAACTCTCCCCCTCTCTACTCGGATGGTGCCTTCTCCATCACAGTCAGCCACGCTGCTGGTGTCTAAACCGTCCTCTAAGCATACTTGTTGATCTACATTTGTGTATCATTGCAGTTTCCAAAAATGTCAACTACTCTTGAAGCAGTTAGGGTTGTTTCTGATTATAAATGATCAGAAAAGAATACATGGCAGATAGAAGACTGTTTGCTGGACTTTAGGATAAGGGATGAAGATACAGTTTAGAGAAGACTTCTTAGCCATGACAGCAGAGAGGGGTGAGGTACGGCATATCCCCAGGCTGGGGTCCTGCCGCCCAGGAAGGGGAGCTGCTGCAGGTGAGCAGGGAAGTGCTGCCTCAACTTTGCACCACAGTGGCCTTTGCGCAGGGTGGACCGTGCAAGCTCCCATGACCCAGTGCTCGGCAGGGGACAGAGACCACAGCTTCTTGGGCTGTGATGCTCCAAACCCCTCACCTTCCCCAGCTCTTCTCCTGTTTCAGAAGAAACTCTAAACCGAAGTATGTACTTGGATTTCACCTCAGGATTCTCTATCACAGCAGTTTTCAAACCATAATGTGCATTAAATTTGTCAAAACACAGATTGCTAGCCTCAGCTTCAGAGCTTGTGACTCAGAAGGTCTAGGATGGAGCCCCAGAATTTTCATTCCCAACAAACTCCCAGGAGATGCCGATGCTGTTGGTCCAGAGATCACGCCTGAGAACCACTGCTTTATCCATTTTCCGGGATTAGGTTCTAGAGACAGACCCTCTCTGCTTATCTGGAGACAAAGAATGGAGGAACTTGCCCCTAGTGGTGGTCTCCTGCTGTAAAGACTGATCAGCTCCCCTGCTATCAAACTCCAGCTTGCTAAAAGCTGAACGGTGGGTTTGATTTTCCTCCTCATCTTCATTAGCAGCATCTACGAATCTCCTTCCCTCGTGAGGTCTCCACTCGGCCCCAGAAATACCAGGAATGGGCCCCGGCTGTGGACCTTCATGCAGAGATGGCCATGCGGCGTGTGCCCAGGTGCCGTGTGGTGTCGGGAAGGGCCCGGGGTTTCCAGTCACTCCGCCTCTTCTCAAACCCAGGCGCAGCCGCCTCCTGGCTGTGTGGCCCTGGGCCAGTCACACAGTCCCTGAGCTTCATACTCCAGCTCCATAACATGGGACAACAATGCCCACATACTCCAGGGTTGCTGAGAAGAGTGAACAGGAATAGTGCAAACAGGAGTCCTTTGCCAACTATAAAGTACCCTGCGAAGAGTATATTATAGCCCCAGGAGAGGTTTGCAGCTTAACAATTAGCTGTAGATTTTTTCCCATCTCTAGTCATTTTTATTTGTGTTTAAGGCTTTCCTCTTTTCCACAATGGGCCTTTACCGTTGAGCCAGTGTTACTGATCCTAACTCACCTTCCATGGTGAGTTAATTCACACACTTTGACCTAAACTGCTCTGAAAAGAAAAAGAAAAACAATCAAGGTACATGGCATTAAACTCTGACCTTACTCCATCCAAAGTCAGGAGCTTCTTGATCTCAATAGTAAATAATAAAATGAGAGGCACCAACTAAGCAAGGCATCATTGGATATGCCCCCTGGGCATCTCTGTGTCCTCTCATGAGACCTGTGCTGAGTCCTGGACATGACCTCACCACCTCTTCTTTGGGACCATAGTCACTCAGGGAATGCATTTAATCCGTTTCTATGGGACACGTTTCTTCCAGATGATGGAGTTCAAATCTATTCCCATAATCCCATTAGCACTGTACTCAGTGCTAATAAGATTTTCAATAAATAATTCATTTATCTAAATAACTCACCCATAATTAACTTGTTATTTTAATCAATTAATTTTTCTAATAGAGCAAAAAATATATCCTTACAGATTAAGGCCACCAAGATAAAAACATACACTACACATACATGCTGTTTGCCTTTTTTTGAGACAGAGTCTTGCTCTGTCGCCCAGGGTGGAGTGCAGTGGTGCGATCTTGACTCACTGCAACCTCTGCCTCCTGGGTTCAAGCAATTCTCCTGCCTCAGCCTCCTGAGTAGCTGACAGGCATGCACCACCATGCCAGCTAATTTTTGTATTTTTAGTAGAGACAGGGTTTCACCCTGTTGGTCAGGCTGGTCTCAAACTTCTGACCTTGTGATCCACCCACCTCTGCCTCCCAAAGTGCTGGGATTACAGGAGTGAGCCACAGTGCCTGGCACTTTTTGCTTTTGACCTGTTCACTACCCTTCTAGAAATCTAAAAACAGTAACTACAGCAGCAAAAACTTACTAAGCCTTACTATGTGCCAGGCTCCTTTCTAAACACTTCACAGTGATTACCTCATGTATTCCTCACAAACTTCAATAAGCTAGGTACTAGAATTTCCCTTCTTTTATAAATGAAAGCAGACAGGTTAAGTATATCTGATCGACAGCACTTTGGGAGGCCGAGGTGGGTGGATCATGAGGTCAGGAGTTTGAGACCAGCCTTGGCAACATGGTGAAACCCCGTCTCTACTAAAAATACAAAAATTAGCTGGCTGTGGTGGCCAAGGCACCACCACTCACAGCACACCACTCCTCACATTTGGCCCTGCCATGGTGGCCCACTGAACACCAGTGCAACCTCTGGGAGTCTTCTGCACCTAGGCCGGGTGGAGAAGATCCAGGGATCCAAAGCCCAGGGTGCAGAAGGACCTGGGAGCACCTGCAATTCCAGCTACTTGGGAGGCTGAGGCAGGAGAATCATTTGAACCCAGGATGTGGAGGTTGTAATGAGCCGAGACCGCGCCATTGTACTCCAGCCTGGGCGACAGAATGAGATTCCATCTAAAAAAAAAAAAAAAAAACTGTATCCAATCGATGGCCACTAAGACTTAAACCTAGGCAATTTAATTCCTTATAACCACTTTTCCAGATGGCCTCCAAGATCTGTCTATCCCAAAGCACACATCCCTCAATACTATGCTATATACATTTTTTCATCCATAAGTTGGGTAAAAATTATACCCCATAGGTTTATTATGAAGATTAAATGAGTAGTACAGGTTAAGAGCTCATAAACGCGCTTGGCACACAGAAATTCCAGAATTAGTTATCATTAATATTAAAGATATACTCAGAAATACAGGCATTTATAGATACAAAGATTTTTTCAATCCCACATTGTCTATAATAGCAAAGAATTTGCAAATAACTCAAATATGCACACTGAGAAATTGGTTAAACAAATGGAGGCAAGCATCCTTGGTGGAATATTACATAGCCATTATTTAAATGAGTGTTTCATTATTTAAGAAAATGTACCAACTGTCCTCAGGATTTTTAATAATAATAATAGCTAACACTGCTTACTACATGCCAGGCAATGTTTTAAGTACTCAGATTTATTTAATCCTTACAATTGACACATTTAGGAAACTATATAACTATCAAGATCTTTTTTTGTTTTTTTGAGACGGAGTCTCACTCTGTCACCCAGGCTGGAGTACAATGGTGTGATCTCAACTCACTGCAACCTCTGCCTCCCAGGTTCCAGCGATTCTCCTGCCTCAGCCTCCTAAGCAGCTGGGATTACAGGCGTGCACCACCACACCCAGCTTATTTTTATATTTTTAGCAGAGACAAGTTTCACCATGTTGACCAGGCTGGTCTCAAACCCCTGGCCTTGTGATCCACCCACCTTGGCCTCCCAAAGTGCTGGAATTACAGGTGTGAGCCACTGTGCCTGGCCAACTATCCAGATCTTAATCTTATAAATTGGTGCTAGGAAAGTTTACCAAAATGAGGGTCTTCTCAAGTTAAACAAAACGGTTGCATAGCCTTCTAAGTTTGTCAGATTTTCATTCCTTTATTTATAAATTTATGTTTTCCTAATTATAAAAATAGTTCTGTTCATAAAGTTAATGACAACAATTTCATCACTAGAGATTAGGTGATGATGATCTCTGAGTGATGAAGTTGTGAATGATTTTATTTGTAGTTATTGATTTTTTTTAGAGACAGGGTCTTGCTCTGTCACCCAGGCTGGAGTGCAATGGTGTGACCATGGCTTACTGCAGCCCTATTTTTATTTATTTATTTTAATATTTTATAATCAGAAAAAAAATAGACTTACAATTAAAGGATTGAAAAGGTTGATCTGCTTTCACAATTCACAGTAGCCCTGACCATCGCCTGGAATGTCACCCTACTTCCTGTGGCTCCTAGGCAAGACACTCCCCTGAGCTCCCTGGACTCCAGAGCTGAGCCCCCCGAGGAGTCCAGCACTTGGGCTGGCTCTGTGTTTCTGTACTGCTCAGAGCTGGAGAAGCCCACAGAGTGGGTGGGGGACAGCACACAATAGGCGTCCTTATCCTGGAGGCTGAGGAAGAGGTGTTTGGGAAGGAGATCTTCAATGCCACATTTGGCAGAAGTGCTGTGTATCTGAGTGTCTGAGCCCAGCCTTCAAAGCAGAGCCCTCCTACCATGATGGCAGTGATGTGGTCCTCCAGGGTCTCCTCCATGGGCCATGCCAAGTCACCACCACTCACAGCATTCCACCCATCACACGTGGCCCTCTCATGGTGGCCCACTGCACCACTGCACTCTCTGGGTATCTTCCGGACTTAGGCCAGGTGGAGAAGAGCCAGGGATCCAAAGGAAGCCCCAGGTGGGTCTGGGAGCTTAGTGCCCCTGGCTGCAGAGTAGCTGTCCAACGAGGCCCTCAGTGGCAGCAGCAGCGCTGACGTGTCTCATTCCCACGACACTGCTCATTCCTGCCTGTCACCCTCCGGGAGAAATGGGGAACTCAGTTCTCAGAAAAAGCAATGAATACAGAGCTTCCCCCTGCTCCTGACCTCAGCTCCTCAGGCATCACCTCCCCAGGGAGGCCACTCTGAGTACTAGCACAGCTCAGGGCCTTCTGGGGTTTTCTCTTGCAAGACTGGGCTCCCCATCCAGGAAGTATGCCCCAGTTGGCAGTCACGAGTTCTGTTCTGGGTGGGCCGGCTTGCTCTCCCCTCACCCAGTGTCTCTGCTCACCTCCATATGCCCACATCTAACACAGCAGCTGCCCTTATGTAGATGCTAATACCGACTGGTTGACTAAATGGAGGGTAAAGCTAGTGGAAGGAAGGGAAGGAGGGAGGGAGGGAAGGAGGGAGGGAGGGAAGGAAGGAAGCTTAGAGATCCAATGGATGGCCAGACCAGAAACCTTTGGGTGGTGGTAGCGGCTACGTTCCCACTTCAGTTTAGGATGGACTATTTTTATGCTCCATATCAAATAGACTCACCTTGGGTGGGATGACCCCAGCTAGTAAAAAGGAGCCAGAACCATCATGACTTCAAGTTGTCTTTAAAACCCGTTTCTAATCACATACGTCAGGTCTTTTTTCCAGCTCAGCAGAAAACCTCCTCATGAACCCAATGCAGTTAGTAGCTCCCTTGGGCTCTGCAGGCCAATAAAGATTGGGTGAGGCTTGCAGGCACCAGAAAAGCCTCCCACAATGGCCCTGGCCCGCCCTGCTGCCCAGGCTGGCCAGGTACCTCCAGGGACCTTGCATACCTCTTTTTAGATGCTGAGTAGCAGAAAAATACACATATCCCAGGTACAGCTTGGCATCCATCTTAGGTGGGGCCTTTAAAAACCCGTGGGCAGCATCAGTAAACAGATCTGTCCCGTGAGGAGAGCCAAAGAGTTGAAATTCAGGTGACTTCTCTTTTCCAAAATGTTCCTGTTGAAAGGACAAAAGAGATGGCGAAGGAGTGAGGATGGCATAGAGGTAAAGGTAAAACAAACCCCAAAACAGACAAAGGAAACAGCAAGACATGAGTGGCTGAGGGTGAAGGCAGTGGCTGAGGTCCCCCACATCCCTGGGGCATGGTGAGGGAAAGCTCTACTTAAATTCTAGCTTGTCTGCCTGGTGTGGCCTCAGGAAAACTGCCAGGGCCACCCCTCGGGTCCACCCCTCTCCACTGCGGGCTGCTGCTCTGTGTTCCCATGGGGCATTCAATGAAGGCTGCCTTCCGCTCAGGTCACCTGATCACCCTAAGTGCCTGTGGTGGTCTCCATCCTGCAGAGGCTGGTAGTCCGACACTGTGGGCTGCAGTCAGACTTCCCGAGCTCCTCTTCTCCCTATGCCAAGCCTGCCACTGAAGGAGCAGCTGTGGGACACCAAACAGTCCCTTCCCCTTTCTGGCCTCCAAAAACCAAAGGGCT